GTACCATGACTTTTAACATAACATAATGGTACCGTGGTTTTAATATAACACCAAGAAGCGCAAGCAAGAGGCGCACTTGGTAAAATTCTTAATTTATTGTAACTTATTTTCCCTATTTTTCATGAGTAGAAAGAAAAGGTGCATCTTTCATTCTTTCAAAATAATTTTAACTAAGTGCATAAACCACATTTGACATTATTATCGCTTATAACAAATATGCTAATTTGAAAACCCTCCAATATGTAAACTAACATATGTATATCTTGGGAAATTTGGAATTAAATCTTATTTCAAGAAGATGTCAAACGTTTTATATCTTAAAATTCAAAATTTTCGAAAAAATTATAAAAATTACTAAAAAATACAAATTTAAAAATAAATCGGAAAACATCTGCGAATTTTATTTGGATTGAACCTAAATTTTGAATTGTGAAAGAAGGAATCGAGTAAGTTTTATTTTTTTAAAAAAAGAGAGAGATTAATAAATATATACCAAATTCAATTAACACACTGAGGAGCTAAAATTTTGAGAGTTAATTTTTTAAAACCTACTTGTGCGATTTTTCCAAAACTTGGCACTTTGGCATAATCTAAGCGGTAGAATCGATATGCGGAAAAACCCAGGTATGTTATTTCAGAAAAAGTTCTATTTTTTTGTTCGAATACGTACGTTAGAAAAATGCTATCCTAAACCGAGCTTTCAGAGACATTGAAAACGGAAGTTAAATTTCGTCAATAGGCGCAGTAAAGCGGGATATTACATATCTTCAATTATTTGCTTGCAGGTCTCGTGTTATGAAGACAATTAGAATGGATTTGAACATAAAGTAGAGGACTTAGATACGTTGATCAAAAATATCTCACTTGCAATGTCTAAAACTGATGATCATTCATTGTAATTTGAGAATTTAAGGAAAATAACTGGCAAAAGTAAAGAAATTCGTTAGCTAATTTTTTACAGTTCTTGCTTGACGTTGTTACACCTCTCAGATATCTAACTTTTCAGAAATTAAATTACTTACTATTTTGTGTTAATATATTATGTCATGCTGTATCTAAGTTATTTATTAATAATAAATTAACTGTTTTAATCATTACTGCGATGCTACGAGGCTTTTCATCTCTGACTAAAATTTCAATGAAGTATATCAAATGAATTTAAAATTATACTTACTTCCCTCTTCAGTACGCGTTTTCAAAGCATCTGATAATTCACTCCAGAGGTGATTTTTAGCCTGGACTCGGACGGTATATTCTGTATATGGAGATAAGCCAGTTATATTAATCGAAGCATCCTTACTTGCATATTCGTGTTTCGAGGCCCCTGCTTCTAACCAAACTTTATATTCAATCACATTTCCAAATGGTGCTTCCCACCCAATATCTAGGCTCTCTTCAGTCGCGTTTTCAAGAGTGATATTCGTAGGAGCTATTGGAAGAAAACGAGAAGAGAAAAAATACTCATCAGTAAAAGGATATAACTCCTCTGAACTGATTTTAAAATTCCAAAAATAATAAAACCAATTGTCACACTGTAATGTAACATGGTATTTCCAAACTTGCAAATAATAGATGTGTTTTTTATTTTTCGAGTCCTACCAATGACTGAGCATTTAAGGCCTTTGAATGTTAGCATTTTGACACGAATTCGAACTCAGACGAATGGACTGGCTACATAACTAGTTTCCGTTGCATTCTTTATATGTAACGTGAATATGAGCCAGTTTCTCTTAGAAAATTCTACACGAAGTTAGCCCTGCTCTTATCGAGATAGCTCTTATGTATTTTTTCGTATTCGAATAATCTAACCTAGCCTTGTTTAGTTTACTGGACAAAGATCAGTGATAGGTCTAAAACAACTTTTATTTGTTACTTACATAACTAAGGTTTATTATTTGTTTGTTTGGGAGGGGGAGATCAATGAAATTAAATAGAGAAAATTCAAAAGTTTTATTAATAATATCAGTCGATAAAAAATTATATGTGAATTAATAACACTCAAAATGGTTTTATTTTCAAATCCATAAAACTGATTTCAGTCAAGAGATTAAGTTGTTTGGTCTGTGGAAAGGTGTTAAAATTATATAATATTATAACAAGAAGATTCATATGTTGTTAATATATATCAGTTTGCATAGGGAAAATAATAAGATATTAACAGATGTTTGATTACAATATGTTAAAATGTTTGAAACCTCTTATTACCAGAAAATTATTTTGCATTAAAACACTGAACAAATTTAAGCTTCCTCTTACTCATTTTTTTTTCTTATTATTATCCACAGAATTGATTACGCGAGGAAATTCTGACAAAAGATCGTAAAATGGTGGAAATGTTTGGTAAGTGATGTAAAATGGAGCATTTGATTTTGGTACAGAAGTATGCATACTGACAACATGGAAACTAGGCATTCTCATCAAAATAACAAACATAGCAAAATTTCAATAGCTATACCTCAATCATTTAATGCAATCCAGTTTATTCCAAAATGTTCCATGCAAGCTTAAAGACATAATAAAAACTTAATAAATCGATTAAGAAATCGAAAGTTTAACACGAAATTTGATTATAAGACGTTATTATTTGTTCATTTAAAATTTGAGACCGACATTTTCTGTTTAAATATATTTTCCTCAAAAAATACTTTTAAATATAAACTTCCAAGTTAAAATTATAAGGTATTTCTCCCGCCTTCTTAGCATGCCTTCCTGGTGTAATGGCCAGCACACTCGGCGCGTACCGAGAGGTCTGAGATTCTAGTCCAGGGAAGGGAATTGCACATTTTTCATGTCTCCTGCTTCGAAATAACCTAATGTTTCTATAAAGTTAAGAAGATTTTCGTACAAAATGACTGTAAAAAAGAAAGAACAAGATAAAGCAATTTTTATAGTCCTACATGTATATCAATACTCTTTCAATGTATATAACTTAGCTTGAGTCGCTTGAATCGCCATAGACATAAATTATTTTCGTATTGTTAATATTTTCCTTCAGTCCTCTTGTACTGTGCCTGTGTTTTAACTGATTCTTACAAACTGGTGACTGTATTTTTATTCTTGTTTCCTATCATGGCCTTAAGCAATCAAACAAGTTTAAGATTGCAGATTATAGCTGACATTTCTACAACTGAAGCACATCGTAGATAAACCATTTTTGAACATCATCTGTTGAGTGTTTAAGGTAATAACAGAACTGAAATTTCAATTGTTCGTAATTTATTTGCACTTATTTTCAATTTCATTTCTACTTATTTTTTTTTTCAAATTTCGTTTGAAGACAGCTAAATTTAAATCATTATTAATAAGATCATTTTACCCTCAGTTATCCCCCCGGGGGTCGGCCCGGGAGTATAATATCATTGAACTTGGCAGTTCCATGTGCCCAGGAGGAGATACCCCAGGACTAACTCTGTTGGCTTGCCTGGATGGGTCGGCTAAGTCACGGATGAGTAGGCTCTGTAGCTCGGTGTGATGATCACACCTCGATATGGGACGGCACAGTAGTTTGCTATGTAATGACCTATTGTGAACTGCAGCCCGCGTAGTACTGGTAGGTAGCCTTTGAAACGCTCAGTGAGATCTCCAAGATGACAGTTTCCCGCCACAGTGAAACCTGAGAACCGGGAGTGGTGACTCCGCGGCCCCAGGCGGTATAAAGCCGTGGTTATAAAGACCATTTTTAAAGTCTGTCACTCAGGATTGGGACCCCGGGGTGGTAGCATGATCAGCGTATATTCTACTCTTGGGAAACCAGATTTCTGGAATCCAGCCCCTTGCCTCGTATGGGGGTTCTGCAGTTGGTACTAGACGTGCAATGTTAAAAGACGCGGACACGTATTCAGTTATTATTATTACCCTCAGTTACATCAATAATCTAAAGATTGCCGACAAGGGCTCTCTGGTATAATTATACACTGAAATAAATCTTTACCCAATTTTAATCCTCTCCAATCTTTTAATTCCACAATATACTTTACCATTGCTCTGGTATGTGGCCGTCTTATTTTTTACCATTACGTTCGTTCTATGTAGCCTTTTTCCACCTACTGATGATGCGCGGAGGGAAGAGCGATGGAGGGGTAACGGTTCAGTAAGCCAGAGAAGCTTGTTTGTGGTGTCTCAGGTGTCTTTCTCCGTCTTCGCGTAATCAAGCATTTTGACGCTTTCCAAAAGTTGCTCAACAATTTCGCTGTAATTCTGTGCTCGTATATTTCCAAAAAAGTCTATGACAATGTTTTTGAATCTCAACCAAGCATTCTTTTGAAGTTCTATCATTTTCCCATGAAATCATCTTTAAAGAACTGCCGAATCTGTAGACCATCAAACACACCGGCCTTTATCTTTTCAAGTGACAGGCTAGGACATGCCAAAAAAAGATGCTTGAAACAGTCTCCTTGAATTCGACTTGAATCTCCTACCAATTCACCCAATGCTTTTCGCGAGCTCTTCTGTCCCACATACACAAAAAACAGGGATACATTATATATCTGCGTTGCTGGCTAAGGAGGGAGCAGTCTGTTTGAAGGTCAACACAGATGAGCCATTCGGTTCATATATTATTGCAACAAATCAATGACTCTGTTTATGTCTTCATATCCTTCATACAGACAAAAAAAAAAAAAACTGAATGCCCTATTGGGACTGCACCAAAGAAATTTTCATTTTGAGGAGGGCACACTTCAAGCTGCGCTACGAGCTATCAATGAGCAATCGCCATTGAGTTGCGTTGCAGGCTGAAATTCCCAACTCTTCCGTTAAACCATGTACGTTATAGCAATACGCAAATCCATTATCACTTCGAAAGTATTGCAGAAACGCACTTTCCTTTGATCAAAAGTAGGATATCTTAGCTCCTTTTGCAAGCACATTTTTCTCGTTCAATCTTGACATTAACAGCTTTGAAGCTTTTTCGATAGACCCAAATATCGTGCCGACTCATTCAACGCATGCTGGTTAAATCCCTTGCAAACGGAATCATCTTCAGTTGCAAAATCTCTAACTCGATATTCACCACAATCGTATTCCTGTATTTACAAAGAGGGTAGTTGTTTGAAATGTAGCACTGGGCGAGTTAGGATACTCTAGTTTTACATTTGTTTTTCTTGTATTACGACTACCTGCTTGAGGAAATGATGCTTTTATGGAGATATTTCTAAACGAATTTGTCTTGTACTCACATTCATCCATGGAAAAAATAAAGAAGACACCCATGGAAACAGCCCGTTTACCAGAATTCGAACCCGAGGGCAAAATAACGACGTCCAAAGGTCTTATACACTCAGGGATTGGTGTATAAAATAAAATTTAAAAAAATAAAATTCCCTGATTTTCATTATAGAGACATTAGGATATTTTTTTTTTTTTTGGAGGCCGGAGAGATGAAAAATTAACAACGCCTTCGCCGGGAATCGAACCACGGACCTCTGGAATACCGGCCCAGCGTGCTACCGTTACACCACGAAGGCACGCTAGTGAAGGTGGGAGAAATACCTTATATACTCCCCTTCTTAAAGGGCGACTAGGGTTTTAGGGGATCTAGTCACCAAATCCTGGGTGCGGAGAATCATCATCCACAACCCTTTTAGTTCGAGCGCCATTTGTAGAGACATTAGGATATTTCTTTTGGAGGCCGGGGAGATAAAAAATTAACAATGTCTTCGCCGGGAATCGAACCACGGACCTCTGGAATACCGGGAAGTACACCAGGATGGCACGCTAGTGAAGTGGGAGAAATACCTTAAAGCATTACTGTAAATAGCTTACGACTTTCCTTCAATTCAATAAAAGAAATAGTGAATGTGTAGGTTTTGAACTGTGCAATAAGTTTAAATGTATAGACTGACAGTTACCGTTCTCGTCTGAATCAAACTAACAAAGCCCTGCGAAGGCTAAAATAATATTTCTGTATTATCTCCTTAAGTATAATAGCAGACACTACTTATGTTTACGAAATAAGTAAGAAACCTGTTGCGAGCCTTACCAAAACTCGAATAGTAGCGATGAGAAACAGTCAAGATTTTCCAGAAAGATAATTATAAACAAAATTACACCTTCAGATTTGCCACCTAACCGGGATAGTGGATAGCGACGCTGACTGCTGTGCCGAAAAGTCCAGGTTCGGATCCCGGAGTATGCATGGATATTTGTAAATGTGTAGTGTCTGTGGAACATGGAACACTCTAAATATGCAGCGAACTTACTCTAAACATAACTAACTAACTATAGCCGAAAGCTAACTTTAAATATGCGGCGAGCAAAGCTGGGGGCGAAACTGAGTAAAGTCGTATCTGTATGGTGCTCAAGGCTCTTGCCAACGACAGGCGCGATCTTGCACACCCTGCTAATATGAATTTCGTGAACTTATTCTGATATTACTGCCATACAAGTGTGATAAATCACAGCAATAAAAACACCTTCAGATTTTGATTT